TTGCTGATATTTGCAAGGATTGGTTTTCAATATATTCTCCACCGACTCACTAACACTCCGAAAGCACTTTCTACAACTCTTCTTGCACGGCTCAGTCTATAATTAAATATTTTCTTCCCAATATCAAATTTTTCACTTCGCGGATATGGCCTCATCATGTACATCGATGGGAAAACTTCATCCGTACTAGTACATATGATAATTTTATTGGTAAGTCCATCTGTTTCGATCTGTCTCGGATTTGGCAGTTTGAATTAGCTTCGAAGCATTTCTCAATTTTGCTGTTACGGAAGACTCCTTCATCACTTTGTCTTCCTTCGCACCAATGTCGACTATTGTAAAGCAATAGTTTGCATCACTGATTGCCAGAAGATTAATACTATGATGACCTTTATAGTTATAATATGCTGATCCACTATTTGGTGGAGCCTGTAAGAAAAGAACATACAAAAGAACATGTCTTTTTATTATAATTTATATTATGTATACTACCAGGTGTATGCATAAGTTTTTTAGTAAAAAAAGACACGTAATTTTCAAAGGAAATTAATTTTTTTTATTCAAAATATTGGCCATCGGCTTCTACACATTTCGCCCATCTTTCAGGTAATTTATGAATACCATGCCAGAAAAACTGCTTGTCTTTTGCGGCAAACCATTCGTCGAGCCATTTTCCAACTTCCTCGAAATTGCTGAAGTGCTGCTCTGCAAGCGCGTGCCCCATTGATGCGAAGAGGTGATAATCAGATGGCGCCAGGTCTGGAGAGTACGGCGGGTGCGGAAGGATGTCCCATCCAAGCGATTTCAACTGGTTGGACTGGTGTCTTTCACTGGTTTTGCTGTGTGAGACGGCGTATTGTCGTGTAACAAAATCACTTTGCCATGTCTTCTGGCCCATTCCGGTCGTCTTTCGATTAATGCGTGGTTTAAATTAATCATTTGTTGGCGATAGCGTTGTGTATTAACGATTTCGCCGGGCTTCAAGAGTTCATAATACATAATACCGCTCTGGTCCCACCAGACACAGAGCATGGTCTTTCGAAGCGATTTGGCCTTGGTGTTGATGGACCGGCTTCGCCAGGTGAAAGTCACAATTTTTTCCGCTTCGGGTTTTCAAAATAAATCCATTTTTCGTCACCCGTCACAATTCGATACAAAAATGATTTCCTTTCATGGCGTTGAAGCAGCATTTCACATGTGACTTTGCGATTTTCCATTTGACGTTCATTCAAATCATGTGGGACCCATTTACCGAGTTTATTGATCTTTCCCATTGCTCGTAAATGTCTGCTGATTGTTTCTTGTGATACATGTAATGCTTCTGCTAATTGCCGTTGAGTTTGAGTTGGGTCATCATCCAATAACTCCTGCAATTGCTCGTCTTCGCATTTTTGTGGTCTACCAGAGCGCTCACTGTCTTTCACATTGAAATCACCACTTTTAAATTGTCGAAACCATGTCTCACATGTTCTAATCGATGGAGCGTGTTCACCATATGTTTCTACCAGCAAACGATGACTTTCAACAGCCTTTTTCTTTTATTTATTATTAAATAAATATTTAAATAAAAAAAGCATGATTAAATAAAAAAAGCAATGCGTGCAATGCCGCAAATGTTCTTTTTCAGGCACAAAACTCGACCTGATCACTGAACGATAAAACAAAGGCTAGTTTTTGGCGGACTCAACTTGTGTTTGTAGTTTTAAATGTCAGACGAACAAAATGATGTATGTGTCAAATTAATACGCTGCGTACTTTTCGCTGGCGACATCTCTTAGTTAAACCGGAAAAAACTTATGCATACACCTGGTATATATCAAACAAATATTTTAACATTTAACAAAGCCTTTTATCTTTTGTTAATAAAATTTTAACATTTTATAAATAAATTCCATTTAGTACATATACCTGAATTTGAACATGCTTTCTATCAATGGCCCCTATACAATTTGAAAAGTTTCACAAATGTTCAAAGTCGTCGGCTATAGTTTTCCAACTTTCTTCATTATCCTTGAGAAAAATTGAATCTTTCAAACAATTCCAAATAACTTTACAGGTCACATATTATTTTTGAAATTGTATTGTGTGCAACTCTGAAGGCATATGATAGGGATTTTTTACTATTCCCTGATGCTAAATAACGCAGTGTAATTTGGAGCCGAATCTCAATCATGAAATAGGTTCGCGAAACATATTGTTTAATAATAATTGGTCCGACTAATGCGAATAATACTTCAAATATTTGAGGTGACATTCTAAAATAATCTATATATTTTTCCGTATCTTCGGCCAACATTTCCCTAACAAGATTATCACTTGCTCCTTGTCGTAGTCTTCTTTCAGCGCTAAATATAAGTCGCACTCAAAATTGTCGTTGTTTTTTTTCATTTTTAATTGCAATATTATACAATATAATTTTGCAATCTTGCGGCGTAACTCCTGCCTTTTAAATGCATACGCACATTTATTTAAAGATTTTAGTAATGTGCAGATAATTAAATATAACTTTTGCGACTCCATACTAATAATTGTTTTTTCAGTGTATCTTGATGTGTCGTTACCGAAGAAGTTTTTTGACTGTGATAGGTACATAGAATTTTTGAATCTTGACAGGTATATACATGTATATATGATTCCGATCCAGAAATTGAATCCCTATGTCCCATGCGATGGAAAACGCGGAAGCGTAATTTGTACGAGCCAATAATACACACTAATACCGATAGATATAACAAAAAACTTTAGGAGAAAGATATTGGGTGTTTTCCAATAAGTAGAATTTGATGTTACACAGTGTGACACAAAGAGGCACTGTAAGACACAATTATAGAGTTTAATTGAAACACATAAGTTACTAAACACGCTCACTAGAGAGCGTAAAAGACTGTGACGTAGGAGAAGACAATCACTCATAAACATGAACGCAAATTCGACTATCGTTTGGAAGCGTTTATTTTCTAGGAGTATCAGTATCGAATGTGGAAGTATTTTATTATTAGATGTACAAAAAAGTTCTGAGCTTTAGATTTCATACAACCGAAATAACAATTTAAATTTTATATATCTTTCCGCCCTTTTGCGATTTTAAAGCGTTGACATTTGGTCTTCTAAAATGCGGTTTGGCGTTTGATATACATAACCTTAAAAATCAGTAGTGTTCACGATGGCAATAACAAAAGAGCATATTCGATTTTCCATCCACTTCGCGTTTCATCTGAAGAAAAATGCTGCTGAAGTCACTGCAATGATTTGTGCATATGGAGAAAACACTGTAAGTCTACATGTAAAAGATGGTATCAAAAATTTCGCCAAGGAGATTTCAGTCTTGAAGATGAACCGCGTGCTGGATGCCCTCAAAAGATTGAAACGAACGAATTGCAAGCACTGCTGGATATAAACTCTGCGCAACTCTGCGCAAACTGAAAAGGAGCAGAACAGCTTGGCGTTACGCAGCAAACCATTTCCGTACGTTTACATACGATGAGAAAGATTCAGAAGGAAGGCAGATGGGTTCCGCATGAATTGTTCGAAGATAACAAAAATCGTCGGCATGACACTGCATTTTGCTTGCACTCATTTTGCTTTCAAAGTTCCGGAAAAAAGATTTTCTGCACAAAATCATTACAGGCGATGAAAAGTGGATTCTTTATGATAACCCTAAACGTAGAAAATCATGGATTGACCCTGGTCAACCTTCGACATCGACGCCAAAGCCCAATATCCACCAAGCCAAGAAGGTTTTGCTCTGTATCTGATGGGATTGGAAAGGTGTTGTATTACGAGTTGTTACAAGGTGTGTTGTATTACGAGTTGTTACCAGGTGAAACAATCACGGCAGACCGCTACCAACAACAATTGACCAATTTGAGCGATGCATTAGAAGAAAAAAGGCCATTTACTGGCCAAGGACGTCGTAAAGTGATCTTGCTTCATAACAATGCTCGACCACATGTTGCGAAAGCGACTCAGGACCATATCTTTGCGTTAGGCTGGCAACTTCTCTCGCACGCGGCGTATAGCCCAGACATGGCGCCTTCCGATTACTACCTATTCCGGTCGCTGCAGCATCATTTGGCTGATACACATTTCGTGAGATTTGAAGAGATACGAAAATGCATTGATGACTTTATCGCTTCTATCATCAAGAAATTCGCAAGTTACCCGAAAGATGACAAAAGGTCGTTGATGCAAACGGGGAATAATTTCGCTGATTAATATTTTTTTGTTTGTTTTTGTAAAGATTGAATTTTACAAAAAAAAGCTCAGAACTTTTTTGTACACTTAATACATATATTTTTATATAGATTTATATATATATATATAATATATTTATAATACTGTAATGAAAATAAAATTAATCATTAAATTATTTTAGTATTAAGAAAAGAAATATTGTTTATCTTGCTTAAAACATCAAATGAAAGTGACAACAGATCTTCGAATGATAGTTCGGAAGAGTCAAGCATGAGTACGGAACATACTACCTCACTTTCTTCTTTTAGTAATAGATGAAAATGTTGATTTGCTATATTGTCCTTTAATGGAACATTTGACAAGTGGAAGTAAAAGGCATCGGATTAATGATTATCTCGAAATTGTCGATTTGTGGACCGAACAAGAATTTAAAGAGAATTTATCAAGACGTTCAGCATTACATTTAATTGGTAAGAAATGTATGATAAGAGAAAAATATTCAATGATAGTTTAACTTTAACATAGTGAATATTTATTTCAATATTAATTAACTATATAACAGTAATTTAAGTGCAATTAACAATATGTTTTAGATGAATTTGAACAGTCCGAACATTTTCCAAAACATGTTTTCGGAAAGCCAATTTCTGCAAAAATTAGCTTCCTACTTTTCTTATGGTTCATGTCAAACACTGAGTCTCTGCGTACAATGTCTGACAGATTCGATATCTCTATTTCTTCTGTATTTCGGATTTTACATCGAGTAGAAAATTGATTATTAACAAAATTAGATAATAAATTAGATGGATACAATTAGATGACAGGAAGATTATATTGCTGTATGTGAAGTTTTTCGAGCTAAAAGAGGTATTAACAATGTGATTGGAGCAATTGATAGAACAGCGATAAAAAAAACTATCTATCAATAAAAATGATTATTTCAACAGAAAAAGATATTTCTCTATTACTTTGCAAGGAGTTGTTGATGCAAAAATGAGGTTCACTAATATTTACTGTGGCGAACTTGGTTCTCTGCATGATGCCCGCGTTTTAAGAAGATCGCCTTTATATCAAACAGCAGTGCAAAATAAAGAAATACATTTTCCAGGAGATACATTTATAATTGATTCAGCATATAGCTCATTATCGTGGCTGAGTTCCTCCATTTCGAGATAATGGTCACCTAACACCACAGCAAAATGAATTTAACTTGTTGCTTTCTTCCACACGTATGGTAATCGAACGTGCATTTGGTTATTTAAAAGGACGTTTTCGTCGAATAAAATTTTTCAATGAATATCGAGAATTGCCTTTTGTCATAAATACAGTTGTTTGTGCATGCATCCTACATAATTATTGCCTTAATGAGGATGCATATGATTTTCTGAACTACAATAATGATGCAATAAATCTTAATAATAATGAACAAAATGAAAATATTGACTGGGAAAGAAATAGATCGAAGAATGCAACTTTTTCCCAGAGAGTTATTTCCCAATTAATAATGAAATGTTCAGAACAAAAATTATATACTAGTGAATAAATGGATTTGCAAATAAAGAAATACTCTAAAAGTGATTTGTAATACTGCTTTATTGCACTTTTTCAAGATTTCCCAATAACAAAATGTTAATTGTGAAATATGTGATACTTATGTACTATGAAATAAATTGAATTAAAAATAAATAGGAAGTATTTTTAATTATCAAATTACAGTATAATTTGTATTTTTACAGTTATGCAACTAAGACAGCAACACAAGTAAATGTATTTATCATGAAAACTTATATAATTTATATAATTTTATATTACATAACATTTATATAATTCATATAATATAAAATTTATATATATTTTTAGGACTGACTTTTTTAGAATAACAATTTAGTTTTTTAAAATTAAAATAAATTTCAAACTTAAATGAATAATTTCTTAATAACAAAAATTGAACTTATAGTTTTAACATTTTTGTGTTCTCCGATTTATTTAATTGATCATTGATGGAAAAGAATCCGTACCTCAAGAAACAATTAAAATTTAAAGTGTTCTCTTAAAATGTTTCCAACATTGTTAAAAGCACTTTACAGAGAACATTTTAAATTTTAATTGTTTCTTGACGTACGGATTCTTCTCCATCAATGATCAATCAGATAAATCAGAATGATACTTTACCAGACATATTATCAGTGTCTTTTTTAAGATACGCAAAAGGTACGCAAAAGTTTGCATTTTTCTTTTTCAATACTTAACATTTCTTTTGCTTATCGTTCACTTTGTTACTTGCAATAATCTTTTTCTGTTGAAGTTCTTTCTCTTTCAATTCAATTTGTTTTTTTTTTAATTGTAGTAATTCTTCCCTCTTTTTCATTATGTCGTTGTACCGTTTCTCTTTAACCTCTCTTTTAACTTTATCTTGCAGATATTGATGCCACTGCTTTCCGAGTTCAATTTTACTTTTTGCAATGTTTGAAGCAGTTCCGTATGCTGGACGTAACTTTTTTAACGTCTCGGGCTGCATCGTTGCTGTTACGTCTTCAATAACTTGCTTATTTGCAGCTATATTTGATGATGAGCAGATCTCTTCAAGGACCGTACGCTTTGTATTTTTCACCTCAAAATGAGACATCATTCATGCAACATCCTTTTTTTTCTTTCCTTTATCTTTACTCTGTTCGTTAGTGGCTGTTGTGTTATATTCTTTATTCTTAGATGTCATCTAGGAAGGCAACTTCGTTGAAACAGTATAAGATTTAACATTGTTTTTTTTGTTTTTCCCGAAAATTTCATCGAGTTGATCGAACCATTGAAATTCAACAGCATCTCTTCCAGTTTTATTGTTGCTGTCAATACATTCTTTGTATCGTTTGTTAAGGCATTCATTTTCCATCTTACTTGCTGTGATGACATCTGTAACACAAAGTAATAATAAATTATAAGTTATTAAAATTAACTGATGTATACATTCGAAAACATTATTTTAAATACATATGCGGAACTATTTTAATAAATAATTTCACTAGCAATGTACCTATCCATGATCTCTATTAACAGTAAAATGAACTAACATAGAAAGTAATATGGTAGAGTAATATAGTAAAGTAAAAGAGAAAATAAAATTTACTAATAAAGACCTCCATTATTTACAATGGGTGATAAAATATTTTCTATAAATCTCTATAAATCTATAATAATCTTGTGTAATACATTTACATTAAAATTTTTGATATGTGTCATTTATATTACATATTAGAAAATATATTGGTTTTGTTTTTACATGCATGTACATACGTACATCTTTTGCTGTCTATTTTAATATTTCTATAAGTCCCTATAAGCCCATCTAAAGTAACTCTTTAATTGTAATAAAATTTATAGTCTTACCTCAATGTTGAAATCTCTTAGATCATCTGCGATAGCTAGCCATATTTTTTTTTAGGATGATCTAGCATATACATGTTAGCTTCATACAACGCTAGCAACGCCAATGTAGCGTCGTTCGTCCAGATCGCAGCTGTATATATTTAATATATAACAATACATAAATATACACATATATATGCTTATAAAATTCACATCATACAATAAAATATTCTCTACTTGAGGCAATCATGACAATACTTTATCAGTTTCCTTATTTTTCAATGTAATAGATTGATAATTTTTATAGTTCGAATTATTAGTATCACACTTAAAAAAATAATTTTGCTCGATGTGTTAGCACTATTGACGTCCGACACGGCCAGACTTAGGATCGAGCTGTGTTTCGCAGTGTCGTTCTGTGTCTCTCTGTGTCATAGATGGAAAACACCAGAGGGTCAATCATGTAATTTTACGTGAAATTTTTCACTTTTCATTTTTCACTTTTTATTTTTCATTTTTCACACATTTCACGTGAAACTTTTCACGTACAGCGATTATATATGTCCAGCTTGGATACATGGAAAGTGAAATCATGAAACATAGTTTCATACATTTTATAGCTAATGAAAATTATTTTATTGGTACAGTATTATACAGTATTATACATTTTTTAATAACCAATTGTATATGTATTACGTATACTTAATCCTAACAGCCCTAATCTTCTCTAATTCCGAAGGATATTTATTAATTCCCTAGATTTCCGCCACTA